GACATTGGTTGTTACAATATGTTAAGATATAACTCAATCTTATAGGGTGGACAGAACATAAAGGTATATTTTTTTTCCTTTATTAACATGATGATTGTTGAACACTATACATGTGTATATGTCACGATCCAAAATCCAACTAGTCGTGATAGCACATAACTCAACCTGCTAAGTAAGCCAATAACAATAAACATAATCTAAAGATAATGATAAGAGTCAAAAAGTGAAATAACTGAATTTAATACATTTTCTCCCAAGAACTCGTAGTACAAGTCATGAGATTTTAAGACTTAAAATTTATAAAACTGATATGAAATAAATAGATCCTTTATTCGAAATAAATATAAACAGATTTACAAGTCTAAAACTACCATGAACAAGAGACAACAATTAAATTATGAGCAGAGTACTAGTGGAGAAGAAAGATATGGAGAATATTAAATTATGATTGTGGGTGTTTTTTCTGTTGGTAATTACGACAAATGGTTGTTGGGAGGAAGAGAGAAATGCTTTCTTGAAACTGCAAGCAAGCATGACGAGTTCAGATAACCATATCTTGGCTGCTTGGGCAGCCTATAATGAGAGTGGTTTTATAAATTGTTGTTCTTGGCGTGGGGTAAAATGCAACTTAGCAACAAGTTTCTTCCATTCAAATGGCTAGAAGTTCTTATATTGAGTGAAATTAATCCTATAGGGTGGACAGAAAATGAAGGTCCATTTTTGTCTGATCTTGATTTATTAACGTGATTATTGAACAGTACACATATGTGTGTATGTATAAATATTAACGTGTTTTTTCCTTCTGATTATGTTATTCAGGGTTTGACAAAACTGCCACAACTGACCAACCTGAAAGTTCTCGATTTGCGGGATAATTTCCAGTCTAATTCTAATGTTTTATCATCTTTGTGTTGGATTTCATCTTTTCAGGTTCTAAGACTTAGTGCATATTTAGATACCTCTTTTAGTATACAGACGAATCATAGCAGTATACTCCGACCTCTACATTATTTTCATATTTTTATATTTAAAGGAATTTTTGAACTGTGGCCATTTTGGATAACATTATGCAAGAATACTCACCTGAAATACTTTCTTTTTTCAGATGAAGGCATCAATGAGAAATGGAGAGGGTTGAGCAATCTAAAGGTACTCCGGTTGGCAGGTTATGGAATCAATGAACCAGTGTACCTTTCTGCATTGGGTAAGCTTCCTTTTCCATAGTAGATATGTGTACAAATTAACTTGGAGATAAACTATTTAACATGATTAAAAGTTTATAAAAGAGAGAAACAAGAAGAGCGTAAAGGCAAATGAACAAAATAAGACNATATATATATATAATCTTTTGATAGAAGTGTCAAAAATGATAATAAGTAGTGATTTTGTTTGGAAAAAATATTAAACTAATTCATATCTCCTTAAATATATTTATACAAACAAAGTAAATTTAAAAGTGCTTTTACATTTTTTTTTTTTAAAAAACAAATGACAAACATGGAATAAAGAGAGAGCTAGAAATTTTGTTTTGAAAAGGATGTTTTAAAAAATACAAAAGATATATCACAGATAAAATAATAAAAGGTTTGATCAAACCAAAATTGCTTATAAGCTGATCATTTGATGGTTTTTAACTAATTTTAGCTTATAAATACTTTTTAATATTAATCAAACGCGTAAATAAATCAAAAGTAATAGTAAATTAGTAACTCTTACTATATAATCGGATTTTTTCATTATGGAGAGAAGAAGTAGAAGAAACTTTCATGTTCAATGAAGGGCATTTAATTTAAACTTTTAAACTTAAAACAAGTGGAAGTCATCACTGCCTTCCTCCAACTTCCATAGTATATATTAAATTGATTGATGATAATTTATCTCATTCAAATGTGGTAATAGGAGGTAAAGTTCAAGAATTCCTTATGAAATTATCTTAAAACTTCAAAAGGTTTTTTCTAACTCTCTTGAAGTGTGTGTATAAAGCCTACTTTAAAAAGACAAGAAGTTTCAAAGTCTCGGCTTAGTTTCTTATGGTAGGTTATAATCTCGTGTTTTAGTCGCTTATGGCACTTTAATGCACTACACTTATTAGTGTTTGAGCTTTAATTGTTATTGTTTTGCACTAGGTGTGTGTTTTATACCTTGTAGGAGCGATTATGAGTTATGCAAATGTTGTGGAGCTAATTCGAACTATTTGAAGTCTAAGTAAAAGCACAAGGGATTAAGTCGAGATCGTGTTCGGGGATCAATGGATGAATAGTGCACTTAATGGGAGGAAAAAGAGTTGAGCAGGAGCGAAACTCATATGCACGACCATGCATGAGAGACACCCAGCGCGCACACGACCGCGCAAGTGACATAGTATTCTGCCATACATGTGCGGCCATGTGCGCGGTGACACCTCCAGGTGCGCGGCCGCGCAAGTCCGTTTTCGGGAACTTTACCCAAGCCTATATTGGTAGATTCGGAGGCGACTATTTACCTATATGAAGCCTAGCTCGTCTCAAAACAAGGCATCTGAGATTTTGGAGCAACGTTTGGAGATAAGAAGGCAAGAAAACAACGGAGACTCAAAATACTTCATCCAATTCATTCAATACGGAAGTTTGTTTGATTTTGGAAATTGTAATGTCTTCTTGTTCTTCTAATACTCTTGTGATAAATAACTTCTCCACTATGGAGTAACCTTTCTTAGGGTTATTGACAGATATTGTGATTTGACTATTGTTTGGGGTTTACTCTATGCTAGTTGCCTAAATTTGTTGAATGAGTTATTAATTGAATTGCAAGGTCAATTGTGGTTTTACTTAAATAGAAAGAGAAGTGTTGATGCAATTCATATTGTGTTATCTTGTTTGGGCTGATTTTACGCCTCTCATAAGTAATCGAAAGAGTTTAGAGAGTTATCAATTGATTCAATTTGGAGGAATAGTTGAGAGATGTTCTTCGAAAGATCATTCATTCAATGTGTTTTTGCATATATTCATAGGACTTGTTATTAGGTTGGTTAACGGAATTCTTATTCATTCGGAAGAAGGATTTGAATCCTAAGATTAGCCTAATCATCTTTTGAAATCGAAGGAGTCAATAGAAGCTAAGAGTGAACTTAGTACGGAATTACCCAAAATAATAGTTGATCACATATCTTGTCACATCCCTTACTTCTCACCTCGAATTTCAATCGTTGCTACTTGGTCATTAAAGTTCCATTATTTTCTCACAATTGATTATCTTAGTTTCTACTATTTGTTGATAATAACATAAACCAAAGTTTTATTTTCCTAGATAGTGTTAAGTTGAAGATTTATTAGAACATTATTTAAACCAATCCATGTGGAGACAATTTAATAATATACCATCCTTGACTAGCGAGCCTAAGTTTTATACATCGGTTTTGTGCTCGTCAAATTTTGGCGTTGCTGTCAGAGATTGGCAATCAATATTGTTTGAAATAATTTTCGGTGCTAATTCAGGAACAATTCTACTTTATTTTCCTTTTTTACTCTCTTCTTATTTGTGTGCACGCAATAGGTTAAATTCAGTGGTGTATGAATCGATCCTCTTCTAAGGAATTGGTGCCATACAATCTAGAATTAGACAAGAACCTGTGGCGGTTGATAAGGGAGAAGGAATCGAGTGGATCTTTGTTGAGACAAACTTCGACGCAAAATACAATGGTGAACGACGGAAGGGACGTGGACCTGGCTTCATCTCAACAAAATGATGTATGTTTAGTAGATGAAGCAGCCCGTAGAGATGCGGATGAAATTGTCGAAGAGGATCGAAGGTTCAATCTCAATCGAACCATGATCGAAGATGAATTTGAAAATGCAACTCCGAGGCCTGGAAGATCTCTAGGAGATTATGCTAGACCAGTTTATAACCAACAACAATCTAGTGTGAGGACCTCGCCCATTGATGCCAACAATTTTGAACTCAAGCAGGGAGTCATCCAAACCATTAAGAATAATTACATTTCCAGAGGCAAACCTAATGAAGATCCCAACAACCATCTGATGGACTTTGACGAAATTATAAACACATTCTGCTACAATGGAAGCATCACATGATGCCATCTACCTCAGAGCATTCCCTTTCTCAGTTAAGGATGATGCAAAGCAGTGGTTGAGAAGTTTACCCAAAAGGTCAATCCGTACGTAGGAGGAGATGACTGCTAAGTTCTTAGAAAAATATTTCTCTGCGACAAAGACTAGACATATGAGGAAGGAGATTCACAATTTCAAGGGGAGACAGTGTTTGAGGCATGGGAAAAATTTAAGAAGCTATTGCAGAGGTGCCCTCATAATGGAATCGAGAAATGGATGCAACTCCAAGACTTCTGGGAAGGGTTAAACCTGCCATCAAGGAGATTGCTGAATAGTACGGTTGCAGGTCCTCTATTGAAGAAAACTTCAGAATAGATTGTCACACTTCTGAATGAACTATCTGAAGACGCAGAACAATGGTCCACTGACCAAGGGGATCAAAGAAGATCAGTAGGGGTGCACCAAGTAGAATCGTCTGTAGCAATGCAGGCCCAAATTGTAGCTATGGCGAAGGACATCAAGCAACTGAAGATAGATAGGGTGCAAAATCAACCACAGGTGGGTTGTGACATTTGTGGATTGGGACACCCAACTCATGAGTGCCAAACATTCACCGCAGAAGAAGAAGAAGTTAAGGAATTGGAGAATTTTAACAGAGGCAACTACCAAGGAGGTGGTAATTTCAATTATGTGCGACAGAGACATTCGGGTTTCTCATGGAGTTCTTCAAATGGTAGCTTGAATTCTTGGTAGTAGCAAAATCCCAGAGCACCAGTACAAGGACCTCCTGGCTTCCAGAACTAACAGAGGTAACCATACCAGCCTCCACAGCCCAACAACTCAAATTTACAAGATCTAATGAAGGAATTCATAAATAAATCAAATGAAAAACTTGAGACTCAAGGGACCGCTATCCGGGAGAAAGGCACAACCATCTAGAATCTAGAAAGACAAATGAAACAGCTCGCATCATTGTTATCAGAAAGGGCTACGGGGACTTTGCCGGCAGACACTAAGAAGAAACAAAAAGAGACGATCGTGGTCGTATCTCTCATGAGTGGGAATACTTTAGTAGAGCCCACTGCAAAACCAAGGGCTGAGAAGGAGATAAACTCAACTAAGATAGCAGAAGAACAAAAAATTGGTGAATCTCTGCCTAAGGAGGATATTAGCATCAGGGAGGTTGATAAGCATAAATTAAGCAGCGTAGTTGAGGAAAGCAAGCGCATGTCAGTGTTACCATTTCCTCAAAAGATGAAGCGGGAGAAACTAGACAAATGTTTTGAGAAATTCTTGGAGATGCTAAAACAGTTGTATGTGAACATCCTGTTCACCGAGGTGCTCACCCAGATGTCAGCCTATGAAAAATTCCTAAAGGAAATCCTTTCAAGTAAAAGGAAGCTCGAGGAAACGAAAGTGGTAAAAATCAATGCCCACTGCAGTTCCATTCTACAAAATAAAATCCCTCAAAAATGTGGGGATCCTAGCAGTTTCACTAAACCCTACTCATTGGGGAGCAAATATTTTGACAAGGCCTTGTGCGATTCGGGTGCATCCATTAACTTGATGCCATTATCAGTGTTCAAGAAATTAGAAAGAGAACTAGGAGTGATAAAATTTGTCCCGGTATCTTTGCAACTGACTGATCAGACCATGATCATACCGGAGGGCATAATTAAGGACATTCTGGTGAGGGCGGACAAATTTGTCTTCCCAATAGACTTCATCATAGTAGACATGGAAGTGAATAAGGAGGTACCTATAATCCTATGGATACCATTATTTTGCACTGGTTGGGTTATTCTTGATATATATGAGGAGCAACTCATGCTACGAGTGGGAAACAAAAAACTGGTGTTTCAAATAAAGAAAATGATGAAATACCCATGTGATGAGGCATCTGCCTATGCTTGTCTCAAACTGGATGTGGTGAGAGAGTTAGCTGAACAACATAAGCTGGATAAGCTGGTAGCTGATTCATTAGAGAGATGCATTAGTCAATCAAGCACAACGAAGGATGAAAATCCTGAGATCAAGAAGGAAGTCGAGGCACTATAAGATGAGAACCAGGTGATAGATGAAGAAGAATTCGAGAAAGAAAAGATTAACCGAAGCTGGAATTGAAAGTACTCCGGACACATTTGAAATATGCTTTTTTGGAGACTAACAATTTTCCCGTGATTGTTGCTGCTGATTTGACAAGTGAACAGGAACACATACTTGCGAAGTTATTACATAAGCATAAAAAGGCAATCGGTTGGAGTATAGCCAATATTCAGTTGATCAACCTTGCAATTTGCATGCACAAGATCATGTTCGAAGAAGGGAGCAAACTGATGGTGCAACCCTAGCGCAAATTGAACAAAACCTTGAGGAGGTGATACAGAAAGAGATACTCAAATTGTTGGATGCAGGTATAATATTTTCCATCTCTGACAGCCAATGGATCATCCCCGTACAGGTTGTGCCAAAAAAGGGGGCATGACGGTGGTGAAAAACGAAAACAACGAGCTAATTCCTACCATAACAGTTATTGGTTGGAGGATGTGCATAGACTACCGAAGGCTAAATGATGCAACAAGCAAGGATCATTTCCCTCTTCCTTTCATTGATCAGATGATGGAGAAGGTGGAAGGGCATGGATGTTACTTCTTCTTAGATGGATATTCACGGTACAATCAAATACTCATTGCTCTCAAAGATCTGGAGAAAACCACATTTACCTGCCCTTTTGGAATCTTTGCATACTGGAGAATGCCTTTCGGATTATGCAACACACCAGCTATATTTCATAGATGCATGATGTCAATCTTTTCAGATATGAATGGGAAGTGTCTGGAGGTGTTCATGGATGACTTTACTCTATTTGGAGATGACTTCAAGGATTGCTTGAGGAATATCGAACTTGTCCTGAAACGATGTGAGGATACTCATCTAGTACTCAACTGGGAAAAGTGTCACTTCATGGTTAATGAGGGGATAGTCTTGGGCCATAAAGTCATAGCTAAAGGTATTGAGGTAGACAAGGCTAAAGTAGATGTGATAGCTAAGCTCCCGCCTCTGACATCAGTGAAGAGCATCAAGAATTTCTCCAGCACTACCAAGCCCTTAACATCATTACTTGCCAAGGATTTGAAATTTGTGTTCGATGTAGAATGCCTCAGAGCATTCGAACTGATCAAGGAAAACCTAGTTAGTGCTACCATAATGGTGACTCATGACTGGAGTGAACCCTTTGAGATCATGTGTGATGCCAGTGATGTGGCAGTGGGAGCAGTGCTGAGGCAGAGGAGAGATAAACTTTTCAAATCCATTTACTATGCAAGCCGGACCTTGAATGATGCCCAGGTGAACTATACTACCACAAAAAATGAGTTATTTGCGGTGGTCTTTGATTTTGACAACTTCAGATCCTATTTAGTGAGAAGCAAGGTAATAGTACATACTGATCACTCAGCACTGAAGTATTTGCTGAGTAAGAAAGAATCCAAACCGCGTCTGATGCGGTAGTTATTGTTGCTGCAAGAATTTGATTTATAAATCAAAGACAAGAAGGGCACAGAAAATGAAGTGGCTGACCACCTTTCGTGATTGGAGAAACCACATGTTGAAGCGGTGGACATTCGAGAAGAGTTCTGAGATGAGCAGATATTTTCCATTGCAGCAGTCTCTGATAGACCGCCATCGTTCGCCAACATAGCCAACTTTTTGGCTAGTGGGTGGTTACCATATGACTTGACCTCCGACCAAAAGAGGAAGCTGTAAAGTGAGGTAAAAAGTTACTTCTGTAATGACCCTTTTTTGCTTAAATTGTGTGCATATGGTGTTATTCGGAGATGTGTACCCGAACGGGAAATGGGAAGCATATTGTCTTATTGTCATGATGGAGTAGTTGGAGGACACTATGGAGGAAATAGGATAGCAGCGAAGGTCATGGAGGTCGGCTTTTACTGGCCATCTCTGTACAAGGATGCAAGATCTTATGTAGATTCATGTGACAAGTGCCAACAGACATGTAACATTAGTAAAAAGGACGAGATGCCTCTAAATTCCATTTTGGTGTGCGTAATCTTCGATGTCTGAGGCATCGACTTCATGGGGACCTTCCCATCATCCCATTCATATGAATACATCCTAGTGGTCGTTGACTATGTCTCCAAGTGGGTCGAGGCAATCCCCACTATGACCAACAATGCTCGGGTAGTATGTGAATTTCTTCGAAAAATATTTTCAGCCGATTTGGAACTCCCTGAGTCATCATTTGTGACAATATGTCACATTTTGTAAATAAACAGTCTGCCACTTTGCAGTCTAAATATGGGGTAACTCATAAAACAGAAACTCCATATCATGCTCAAACTAGTGGGCAGGTAGAAGTAGCTAACCGTGAACTCAAAAGAATTCTAGAAATAATGGTTACTGCTTCCAGAAAGGATTGGTCAGTAAAGTTGGATGAAGCTCTATGGGCGTATAGAATAACATTCAAAACTACCATAGGAACTTCACCCTTCAAGTTGGTATATGGAAAGTCATGTCACTTACCTGTGGAGATAGAGCATAAGGCTTATTGGGAAATTAAATTTCTTTATCTTAGTCTTGCAGGTAAGCATAGAATATCACATGTGAATGAGCTGGAGAAATTCAGATTGGCTGCATATGAGAATGCACGAATTTTCAAGGAAAAGACGAAGAAATGGCTTGACCGTCTGATTAAACCGAATGAATTTCATGAAGGGTAAAAGGTCTTACTGTACAATAGTAGACTCAGATTGTTCCCCGAAAAATTTAAGTCTAGATGGACGGGACCGTATATGGTGAAACATGTATCACCATATGGGGCGATTGAGATCCAGAACATGGACGGAACAGAGAGTTTCAAAGTGAATGGGCACATGCTAAAATCATATCTTGCTGGAGGATTTGCTCAGCAATCCTCGAGCATCATAATTAGTTAAGGATGCCCGTTTGAGTCAAGATGAAGACTATAATTCAGAACTACCTCTAACTCTTCTACTAGCTTAATTTTTCCTTTTTGTTTGTAGCGTAAAATAGGTAGAAATTAGTGTATATTATGACTTGGTAGGTGCAGGAAGGTATATGTTGCGGACGTTCAGAACTGAGGTGTTTAGAAGGCTCCTTGTGAGTGTACCCGTGCACGACCGCGCACCTAGTAGGGTACCTCGCGCATGTGGTCGCGCAAATGATGACGTTAGACTATACTGGTATGTGCGCGGCCGTGCACATGAACTAGTATACTGCTATATATGCGCGGCCGCGCACGGTATGACCCGACCGCACATAGGTAAGTACCTCTTTCTTTCAATTTCGGACCTCCCCCCCCCCCCCCCCCCCAAAAA